ACTCTTAACTGCGAAAAAAAAGGGTGTTCACAGCATCATCATAGTTTTGATCTATAATTGTCAAATAAATGTAAAAGTAAAAATAATAAATAATCACAGAATACTAGTATAACAACTTTTTAATTGCTAATGGAACAGATGTGAATATAAATTGTCATAATGTCATCAAGTTTACAATGATTTGTGTAGCGATATTTGAATTTACTGGTATCAGTAACTTCCAAATGCCATCAAAATGATTCATAGATTCATTGTCCCATTTTATGGACCTACCGTACATGGTGAAAACGAATCAACAAGGACTGTGAGCTGTGCGAGATTAATTTTGGATACTTACATTGTTCATCATCCATTTTCTCATCATAATCAGTGTGCCATACCAAAGCACTGCTGTAAATACTCTCTGAAACTTTCTCATCTTCCGTTACTGCAAAAAAAATAAGCCATTTTGATTAAAAACACAGAAAGAAAGTGATGTGCATCAGTAACCTAAATTGAGAAATATTCAAAGCATTCTTGATTTTGATTGATTACCTTTGATAAAATGCTTTATTTACATTTGTTACAAAAAATTACCAGCTGTCATATTTCATGAAACCCCCCCCCCCCCCATAAAAAAAGTGTGTTTGTATACCATTCTGTCTTGCTACCTTTGTACTTCAACAATATCAGTCAAGGAATACAAGAGAAATAGAACAGCTGAGTAGAACTTGACACAGACAGACATACTGGTAAGATCATAAATTAATATTTAATATACTTACACAAATCTGGTACAAACGCTGTGTTAGAAGAGGCCCCACATACTGTTGTCAGCTGCACTGCATCACTGATTTAAAAAAAAACACAAAACAATTATATTATTTTATAGCAAAGGCTTTCTTTGATTAGAAGAACAAAAAAAAGTTTTGTTTTTTTTAAATCATAATTTGTCACAATTTCAAATGCACAAATCACCTTGTAACTTCTAGTTCCTTATCTTGGCTGCTATCAGAATCAGAGCTGATTATTATAATATCACTTTCCGTACAACGACAACTTGGAGGGCATCGTTTGCGGATCTTACCTCTTCTGCGAGATGACCTAACTGGTTTGTTGTTTACTCCTAATGTCTGGACTAAATTGATATCAAAGAAAAAACATTTTTTTTTTCACTTGAATTTGTATTTGCATTAGTTCTATGGAATGTACTAGTAGTACAAAACGTTGACCTTGAAATAATCGCTGGCTACATAGTAGTTGTTCAAACTAGTTTGGGACCCCACAGTGAATTCCAAACAGTCAGTCACAAAAAAACCAAAGTTTATGCTAGCTCATATGGCCCGCCCGGTCAAGTTGTCCTGAACATGAAATACAGTGTATGTTGTACAGCTTGTACTTGCAATTTGTACATAAAAATAAACCAAGAGAGACAACAATGCCTGGAAAATATATTACAAACTAAATTTTCACAACCAGCACTTTTACTTTCACTTATTGTATAAGGTGTCTGCTATATTTACTACTGGTATTTCTTTTTAACACTATTTGAATCAAGGAAAGATGTCTCATTGCTGTATGCACACATTTCAACATTTCAGGTTTTAAACAAAATTCTATTTATTCTAATAATTGTGGTATTTACCTTTCTTTTTTATAGACCCAGTGGAAAGATAGTTGATTACTTTTTCATCAGTTACATTTGTCTTTCTTCTGTGTGTGTGTTCATGGGCACGACAAGCTCGTGCAGAGCGAAATCTTTTACTACAATGTTTACAATGTAGTTTTCTGTGGAAACAAATATGAGCAATTCAAGTTCAATCAAATGCAAGGCAACAAACAACCATATGAACCTGTCATGGTGTCTGAAAGTAAGTGCTAAGTTGACAGCACAGTATTAAAGGTACGTTCACAAAATTATATAGGTTTACCTTGACATTAAAATAATCTGCCCAATAACCTGAAATGTCTGCCGTCGTTGTTATGAAATACACCCCCTAATCCGTGTCCCGTTCGAAAGCCACCCCCTGTGGGTGTGGAAACAGCTAAGAGAGGAATAGCATCAGCAGTAAATTTGTTTGAGTTTCTTCCATTTGGCATCATACTTATACTCCAACCCACACATGAAGTTTCATTGCTTTTTGAACCCTTGTCCATGCTTTCTACCACCAAGCCAGGTAAAGAGACATTTGCTATGGCAGTCCTTAGACACAGTCACTAAATGATCACATAACAAGTCATTGTCAATGACACGTCCCTGTTCAGTTCATATTTGAGTAACATATATATTCAAAGCAGATCATGACCGAAATGCACCTGCATATGTACAACACATTGTACTAAATCTGAACAAAATCCATCCATGCATGACTGAGATCTGGTTCCGGAATTGCATTTTCAGCCTTAAAATGGCCATCATTCAGCTATTCTTAAGCGGATCATGAAACAAATGCACATATCTCTTTGTGTGTGAAGTTTGAACTTGATCAATCCAGACATGTCTTGGATACGGATCCAGAACTGAATTCTTTAATAAAAATGGCCGCCAGTTGGCCATTTCGAACTTGACCCGAAAAAAAATGACGTGCATCAAGGTCCTATTATGTTAAATGTATGTACCAAATTTGAACAAAATCCGTCCATGCATAACTGAGATCCGGGTTCGGAATGGTGAAAATGTGCGATTTCAATGCATTTTTGGCCTTAAAGCAACCGCCATTTGGCTATCGTTAATGAGATCATGAAACAAATGCACATACATATTTGTGACATGATGTACCTTGTGTGTGTGAAGTTTGAACTCGATCAATCCAAGCATGTCTCAGATACGGATCCAGAACTGAATTCTTTAAAACAAAATGGCCGCCAGTCAGCCATTTCAAACCCGATCCAAAAAAAAAAAAAAACGTGCATCAAGGTCCCATTATGTTTAATGTATGTACCAAATTTGAACAAAATCCGTCCATGCATAATTGAGATCTGGGTGCCCGGAATGGTGAAATGTGCGATTTTGATGCATTTTC